TGAAAAACAGCAAAAGTCGCAGAAAGTAGGATTTTTATTGAGTTTCTTGAAGTCGGTAATAGTATTAAGAAGTCGGTTTTACAGTATAGGAGGCCTGTTTTGGTGAAGAACCGAGGTATTCAATGCTATGAATTAATGTGTCGGGCTCCGATCCTCGTATTGAATTAAATGCTGCTATTTATAGTAACATTCTGCACGCATTTAATGCGAATTGACAACATAGGGGCGGCTATAACGTAAGCAGGCGCGTAGGCAATGATAACGGCATGGGCAGCCCGTCAGTTGATTGACAGGCGTCGTACTTTGTCGGCATGAGGTCGGTTCTTTCGGACTTCAGTTTCTTCATGAGTTTACGCTTCCCCCCGGCTCTTTGGTGAGCTCATTATACCGAGGTGTCGTTCCGATGCCGAGGTGACCCTGGGAACAAATCCTCGCGATCCAGAATCTCGGTGCTTTGCCTGATCAGTCTCTATTAATCTTCTCGAGGAGCTTTTAATGGGCATAATTCAAATCTGGTATCAACAATCTCATTGGAGAAATATTTTAGACTTCACCTTAGAATTGAAATAGCTTCCGCTTCTTTGTTTATAGACATTGTTTTTTAGTTCGGCGGCTCGCCTCTTTTCATCTAGTAGATCTAGGTTGGCTCTTAGGAAGTTTTTATTTTCTGTTGCGCCAATATGTTGTACCCGATATGTTGGTGAGTCAATCTCTATGAGAATCATAGCTTTTGACCTGTAGGCAAGTAACAAAGGCGTCTCTCCTGTGGCCGATCTTGTAGTTGTGTGGTAGGACCACAGAATTCCTGGTACATCTTCCGGCCATGATTCTTTGGCTTCTTCAAGCCTCACTTTCAGACGGTACTTGATGATTTTGTTCACAGTTTCAACTTGACCGTTGGACTTGAGGTGATATGGGGTAGAAAAGTGATTTATGATATGTACGCCTTCACAAAATAATTTATATTTCTTGTTATCAAATTGTTTCACATTATCAAATTATAACCTGTTAAGATTTTTGTAATTTGAACTTTTCGGCAAACTAAGACACAATTTAAACACCCAATTGAAAAGTTTAACATTGTTCTCGGGCTACCTAATGTAATAGTAACTAGTACAACATGACCCATGATTACAAGTGCTAATTAAAAAATATATATATGCTAAAATTCTTAAAATAAATACATTATTAATGATGTAAGAGAGAACTTTTACTTATCGTTCAGTATGCAATGAATCTTTATGTTCTAATACTCTATCCGAGAGTTATCAGTACTAGTACGTACCCTGTGCGATGCATGAGACAAAGATATTAAATGAGTTATTTTCACACCCTTGTCCGTTTAAGTCTAAAAAATAATAGGGTTATTATCTATTTTTTACCTCTTTTAATCAACGTTAAGTCTAAAAAACAATAAGATTATTATAAGTTTTTTTTCTACATCTTTTAACCAGCGTTGTTTTTTTAGCCAGAACATTAAATATGAGCATGTTAGGGCTAGCTTGTAAAATAATTAATATATTATCTCACTAAAATATTTATACTAATAAAAATTTAATTTTAGCATATAAATTTATCCATTGATATAAGAGAAAGTAATAGTTTTACTTATTGTTGTTCACTATATAATATTTAATTATATAATAAAAATGAATACTGTTAAATAGTGTAGTAGAACTGTTATAAAATTATATGCATTATTTTTTTTACAATATGGATTTAATATCTTTTTATGATTTGATAATATAACTATAATATATTATTAATGATATAATAATATGAGATACGGATTTACATAATACTATGGACTTATTCTTTAATGTTAAGATATTGAATTAGGTAATATATAATTCACTAATTTGTAATCTGTCTCTTTTTATATTGAAAATAATCATGTGATTGAGTAGAGATAACAATTATCTATAAATTCCTTCATTGAAGGAATAATTTTTAAATTGGTCCAAGTGTTGAATGCGGTCCGATTTTCTTGTAACTAAAATAAGAAGAGATTTTGAATTTCAAAGTTTCACTTCAAAACCACACGTAAATTTGGATCAAACTTTTTTCGTATTGAATTCATTCTGAAAAATATAAGATTTATAAATTTATTTCGTAAATTTTAGTACGTAAAATTTCGGATTAAAAATATAATGATTATAAAAAAAATGAATGATTGATCTATATAAATGTAACCCTAAATTATATATAATCATTATATGTTTAGATCATTACCTAATAAATCTGAATGCAATATAATGAAAATATAATCTATGTGCAATAATAAAAAATCTGATTGAATATATATATAAAATTAGTATTTTACGATTAATCTATGAGTAATAATAAAAAATCTGATTATAATGTCCCCAATCAATACCTAATAAATCTGAATGAGATTATTACGGTAAGTGAATTCATAAATTGTCTTCCTCAAAATATTTTATAATGATTATAAAATATTCTAATACCGAAATAGTAATGACATTTAATGCTGTTGACTTTTCTGGATACTAAATGTAGTAAATAGAATTTCCTTTTATATAAGTATAGATTTATTCAGTAATGCTAACGGATGATTAATTTCGGATTTATTCAGTAAATAGAATTTCCTTTTCTGGATACTAAAGATGATTAATTTAATATATTATATATTAAAAAATGATACAAATAATAAAAGTTATTAATTTATAAATATATTTACAACTTTAAGTAATCAAGTATTTTATAATTTTAAAATTCTAATAGGTATGTATAGAATCCAGATCTACATTGATTGTCAGCATTTCACACATAGATTATGAAACACCATAAATCCACACATAGCACATAAAATCGGAATATTCTGGATCAATATATAGGAGCGGATGGGTGACAAAGTACTTCAATAACAAAATGAAAAAATAACAACAATAAATTGAAGTACAATATGAAACTATTTTGAAGTAAATGAATAAAGCATTAGAATTACCAAAATAAATATAATACTACATTAAAAATCCTGGTAATATGAAAATAATTACTATATTTCTTTTTCTTTTTTACAAATGACTAAAAAAACTCTAGGTAAAAGTAAATCCACATTATGAATATGAACCCAAAAGAACGTTGGTCTTTAATCTGAAAGTAATATATGAACGAATAAGAGCATCTCCAATATATTACTGTCAAGTGAAAAATAAATGGCATGTCATTTCTAGATATAATGTCTTCATATTTATCACTCCAATGTGTTCTTTCATGGTCTAATTTTGTGTGACGTAGCGTGACAGTAGTCAAGCCCATTGTTTGAAAGCAGACAGTGTCTTTGACAATATGACTCAGATAAAAAGGTAAAGAAAATGCAACAAACTGATTGAAGGATACATGAACAAATATGTGTCTCCAATTATGTATAAAATCAAGATTTGAGTCTCCAAATATGTTTAAAAACTCGAAATATGTTAAAAATCAGAGATGTGAGGATTTATATTTAACATTCTCAACATTTATGTGGAATAACAAACTCTAAGTTTTAAGGATATACTCAGGAGGTATGCTTGTTAACTTGTTATCCAGATATTGGTGCTACTCAAAGAGTCGTTCAATTTATTAAAATTTTAAAATCAATTTAACATTAAACTAAAACACTCGTTCATTCTATTAAAATTTTAAAAATCAATTTAATATGAATATTTAAATATTGATATTAATGTGATTTGGCTAGTAAATAAGAATGAAAGAAAGTGCATAGTACGTAGTATTTGGCTATTGCTATTCCTACAGTCAACATTGATATTAATGTGATTAGTTATCCAATTATGTACTAACACGTGACATAAACATTTTAACATTCACATTTATACACTAGCGATGCTCTAAACAAGTCATGTTTACAAAAGTATTAAAATGTCAAACAAATTTAAAGTAATTTATTTTGTCATTTTTTCTTTGAGATTTTAAAATACAGTTTTCTTTTTCTCGTTCTCTCTCTCTCTTTCTCTCTCTGTTTTTACAATTGGCTATTTGAAAATCTAAAAAAACTTTGGTTTAGTGTTTTTATATTTAGTGTTGTAGTGTTTTAGTTCTAGCGTTGCTAGCGCGACCTCTAGGCGATCTCTGGATATGCCTCTCAGTTTTGAGCTCTAAG